CAATCGGAAAAGGGGAGCTGCGTATGTTGGAGGAGGAGGAGGAGGTGGCGGATGAACAGGAGGATGAGCACAAGGAAAAGGAGGATAATGAAGAAGGAGGAGGATCAGGACGAAGAGCAGAAGGAGCTGGAGTGGAAGGAGCGGAAGGAGCATGAGGACCAGGGGAAGGCCGAGGAGGAGAGAGGAGGGGGGCGACAACAGGATTCGGGTACAGGAAAGTGGCCCGCGCTGGGGCGAGAGCGCCGATCTGAACGACGGGATCCATAAGCTGATCCTGGAATGAGAACCGGAAACGCTCAGGTTGGAAAAGCGCATCATAAAACATGTCGCACCGATCTTGTGTAAGAAGACAGAGGTGAACGCGCCAATCTCCGCACATCTGAGTCGGAGAGAGGATAATACTATTCATAGTATGCAAGTGTGTAGCTAAGAGAGCAGAGGTGAGGAGAGAGAGAGAGGACAACACACACATGAAGAGAGAGGTGGGATTAGCGATCTGTATATCCACCACCGTGCCGTAGGCACTGGGTGGAGTGAGCTCACCTCCCTCCAGCCACACTATTGAATATCGGATACACTGCAAGGGGCCCATCACTCGGGCGTGGCCGATGACACCCAGGGCGTGTGGCGTGACTTCTCCTGAAGCCAGCGGGCGCCGAGACGGCCCAAGAGGGTCCCGAGGTGTTCCCGAGACGATGCTCCTGGGCGCCCTCATAATGAGGGGAACGCCTCGCGCAGCGCAGTGTTTTTGGGGAGGTCGCACCGGGGCGATCTGGGGAGAGCGGGCAACTCTCTGCGGCGCCGGAGAGCAATGGGGGGACGACGGCCAGAACGCATCACGGCCTCTCGGCACCTCCCACAGGAGGTTGACCGATCCCCCGGCGACGCCCAAAGAAAAAAACAGCTCGGCTCGACTCACCAAGGTAGCCCTCACTACCAAATTGTGAGCTCCGAGCCCGCTCTCCGCAACGCCGCGACGAGAGTGTAACGCAAATTGGGTCCCCACGACTTTGAAGGCATCTGCCAAGTACCTGGGCGCACCATACCCGATAGCCGATTGCCGCCGCGGCCCCTCGTAACTGTCGCGCTCACAAGCCAGAATCTCAATGCCCCCCCACAGATACAGGTGTCGCGGTGTCGCTTTGTCATGCTGTTGCGGTGCCGTGGCGCTGCATTGACCAAGCGGGGTGTCGCGAAGGCGTGATGTCGCGGTTTCAAGGTGCCGTGGTGTCGAGGTGCTGGTGTGTGGCGTCGTGGCGCTGCGGTGCCACGGAGTCGCAGAGTACATTTAGCTACGTGCGCTGTGCAGTAGTAGCTGGAATATGCTCACGCTGGCCCCGCGCGCTGTCCTGGCATGATTGGGCAGGCATTTACTTTGAAGCATCAGCTGGTGTACTGCCACAGGAGAGGCAAAGAGAAGAGGATAGGGGATGACGAGAGGGGCGCACCGCCGCGCCAGGGGAGGAAGAGGCAAGAGGGAGGAGGAGGATGCAAGGTGGGTCAGCATGGACGCGAATGGACGAACCCCCTGTCCGCCGTGCCCCTGCAACGCGCGGGCGCAGTCATGCCGTGAACTCTACGAAACGATGTACCCATAACGACACGCAACTCTGAAACCGCAAACGGCGCGCCTGGCCATGCAAAATTCGTGATCCTGACGAAGGAGACTTCCCGACCACATGCCGTCACAACTAGACAAGGCGCGTACCTAGTTGCCTCTTTTCTCTAACAACAGACAAAGATGACAAGAGACGGCCCAATGGCCAGCAGAGTCCGCTCAACGCTCTAAAATCTGCCGCAAGCGGGAGATGTGCGCGTACGTCTGGCACCGCCTGGAAAGGCGAATGCTTCAGCTGAGGTGCACCCAGCCGATGCGCAGCAACTGCCTTGCAGTAGGCCGCAGCGAGGAACATATACCCCCTCGAACATGCGAAATAGTGTTTGACAATCAATTTGCAGCAAACCTTGCTCTACGTTCAAGCAGTGCCGCTCAACCAATCGGCACTGCAAGGAAAGGAGAAGGCTGGGCTACGCTAGGGCAGGGGGCGAAGGGACGACAGGGGTTGTGAGAGAACAGTGACACTCAACATATGCATTCCCATTCTGAATATCGGGGGGCTCCGTCGGCTGCACTCGAGCGGACGCTCCTGAGGTGCACCACTATCTGGTCACCGCTTCTACTGCTTCTGGCATGAGTTGCGCAAAAGAGTTTCGGCCTATTTCTCGAAACATGTTTCCAGTCCATCCTGACAATTTGGTGGTCGAGCTCTTAGATTTGCTTCAACTCTGTGGTATCATTGTCTGATAGATCTGGGCGAACGTGCAAGATGCGGTCTCCAAACGCAGCTCGGCAATTGGCATCCGTTTTGAGTGTGCATTTCTTCATTGGCTCCATGTCCAAACACTTCTTCGGCATGGTGCGATACTTGACAATGACATCAACCTTGCATGCGAGCTCTTGCCTCGGCAGCGCTTTCAACTTGCAGCGGTGGTGATCACGCATGTATCCCCCGAGTAAGTTCCACATTTGGAAATGAAGCAACCTGGTCAGAAGTCAGTCCTTGCCAGAGGTGAACTTGTTGGCGCGGCTCCTGGAAGGTCGGTAAACTAACGGCAGACAACATCACACTCACAATGTCGCCGTCGTTCCTTACACCAAATAAATCTAAAAACACGATATCCCTGCCAAATGCTTGAATTCGCCGGCCCAACGGGCCAGCAGCGTGCAGATCTCAAGTGACCGGTTGATCGTGTTTCTGGTTCGTGCGTGCGGGGCGGCCCCCGGGGGCCCCCAAGCGAAAAAAAAACCGGGCGATCCCTGGCAAGGTCTCGTCAAGGATGCCGGATCTCCCGGGGCCGGCTTCGGCGCCCTGAAGATCGCCCCAGAAGCGCCCCGAGAGACCCCCGGGGAGCTCCAAAAAGGGCCCATGAGTCGGGATCGATAGGCGGCAGGCCTCACGATGGCCCGAACATAATCCCAAGAAGCTTCAAGATTGCCCCAAGGTGGTCCCAGACAGGCCCAAGAGGGCCTTCAGAGGCCCCTCAACAGGGCCTCAAGAAGCACACATAACAACTTCTTTCGGAAAAACGTGCGTTTTGAGCACATTCGCCTGTGGTGTCTAAGATAGCCCGAGAGGCACCCAAGATCGCCCCAAGACGACCCAGGGAGCTCCCAAGGGGGCCCTGAAAGGCCCTCAAAGATGCTACTAAGATGCCTCAAGAAGGCCCAAGAGGCCCCCCAAAGACTCCCAAGAGGCCCCCAGAGGCCCCCCGAAGATGCCCCCATGATGCCTCCAAGAAGCCTTCAAGACGTTTCTAAGAGCTACCAAGAGACTCCAAGATGTCCCCTAGAGGCCTCGGGCCTCAATGGGGCCCCAATAGGACCCAAGAGGCTCCCGAAACGTCTCCAAGAGGCCCCATTGGGGCCGCAAACATGCCTCCCAGAGGCCGCCAACATGCCTCTCTCAGGCCTCCTCATTTTCATCCTACCCTCTTCCTCCTCCTCCTCCTGCCCCTCCTCACCCTCCTCCTCCTTCTCGCTCACCACACGCGCCAACACATCTAGCACCAGTGATATAATATGGGCTGGCGGAACGAGCGAAGCAATTCAATATATCTGCTGGCGATGTTCCCAAGGCCCATGCTTTTTTTCGGGAAGACTTCTCCCAATACTTGGCGAACGATACGCCGCTTGTCGACGAAGCGTCCGTGGAGAGGCGCTGCTTGTAATTAGGCGGGCCAACTCCTACTGAGAAATGGCCGGCGAGTGAGCGCCACCTTGATGTTAAACTTCAGAAATAAGTACTTCATAATCAAACTTGACTTTGGACTCATGAGGCAAAGCGTCTCGGAGCTAACGATCAAGTGCTGGCCTTCGGCCACTGCTGCGCTGAGCTTATCCTTGAAAGCTGTCGTTCAAGAAAGTGATGCGCTGGAGCGAACTTCAGATGTTCCTTGACCGGCGGCGCGAAGTACATTCTATTATTCTCGGGGGGCTCGTCCTGGTACGTCCAAAGGACTTTTTGGATGTATGACGTCCCAGTCTTGGGCGGCCCGATATGGATCAGAGGCGGTCGGCCTTTTCAAGGGTCCCGGTATACGCCTGGTAGCCGATGGACTGGCAACCGCCTGGTCTGGGTCCTGGACCAGGGCTCGGGACCGCGGGTGACCTGTTGGACTCCGTCCAGAAGTCATTCCCAGAACTCCAACTGCACGGCTTTCAGCATCCTCGCCAGCCTCGCTGTTCTCTGCGGACTCCAGAGGCTCATCCGCTTCAATCTCCTTCAGGGTACTTTCGAATGACGTCGAGCTCTGCTTAAGCAGGTGGCTTCGACAACTCGCCCAGGCTCCATCCACCACAGCCTCGCAGGGCATCCTCCAGCGGCCAAGAAACAGCAACCATGATCACGATACTGATACAAAGCGTGGGTAATTCGAAAAACAATCCAAATCTTCTCGGCAGCGTCACGGGAGTCTTCGACATGCCCGTCAAATTCGCACCCGCCTGCCGTCGGCAAGTCCAATGTTTGCGCCTTCTCACCTGGAAGAAGCGAGGCCTACTTGAGCCAGAATGGCTACGGCAGGCGCGGACCTATTTGCCTTGATCGTATAATTGCCCAGGTTATCGTCCACCACGCTGGGATCCTCGTCCGCTGTGGCGGAGTTGCGTCCTGACGTAGAAGTTGTGCGCGTTATGTGCGCATCTGGTCGGTACAGTGCAATACCATGTGCGCAAGACAAGTTCCAAGCCATAAAGGTAAATACTTCAGGTATGCTCATCACGGCAAGTGTTTGTTCACGTTGCCCCCACAACATGTCCTTACAATATGTGTACCCCGTGTTGCTTTCTTCGACATACCTTGACCTTCAATATGTACGGCTTGTGGCGTGTTTTCAGCTCCCCGCAACATCCCCTTCATCATACCATCTTTGCCGTACCCTTAACCTTTCTGTTGTTGCACTTGACCTTTCCCTTGTCTTCCCGTGAGATTCGCTTTAATCACCCTTTGCTTCCGCTTGCCTTCCCTATACAACGCGTTGCCAGTTTGTTTCCCCTGGCGGCGCCTCTGGTCGAATGCTTCGCGCACGCGCGTCCTGTCAGCTTGAGCTGGGCGCATCACGAGCGGCGCGTCAGGGGATGGGATGCATCGAGGCAAGGAGAAGGTGTATGACTGTACGTCACCCTCCCAGGAGCTACAAGGAAATTGGAGCCAGCAGTGGGGTCTGAGCTGGATAGGCCCAGAGACCAATGCTGAGCCACCTCAGCTCCCCAGCCGGCTCCAACAATGAGAGGCCGTCTCGAGAATGTCCTGCTCAGGCTGCTCTCGGCTAGGATTTCCCAGACCGCTTGAACATCTTCCCCAGGCTCTTGATGCCGTGCGCCTCTTGGTGGCGATCAAGAAAATTCAAAGGTGGGCTGAGGTTAGGAGGACAGGCCTTCTAGGACTGCAGGGGCTCATCTCAGTAGAGAGGGCGCCCTCATCAGTGCCCTGCCCGCCACATACATACCATCCAGGGGGGGCCCTTTACAAGCCGATTCCGCCTCTCAGGCCGTCCAACAAACTCTCCAAACACCTGTCACGGAAACGCGTTCAGGTCGGAACTTCGATGCAGAACCGGCCGTGGCCACGAGTGCCTGCCAGGAGGCCCCCGAAAAGGCGAAGCACGCCCAGAAGCCTCGACCCCGAAGTTCGACCCTCGAACCTCGAAGTTCGACTCCGAAATCCGCGCAGCATCACTCCCTGAGCCACCCCCAGCAGGGTTCGTCCTGGCTGGCTTCTCGCTCCAGATGCACGTCTGACGGCCCTCGGGGCCCGAAGCGGGACTCCCCAGACACCCCAAACGCTCCAGAGCATGTCGTCTACCATAGCTGTCCCCCTCCCCTTGGAAGGCCTCTCAATTGAGCGACGAAACAAGAACTAGTCCTACGCGAGATGGCACAGCGACCTTACGCGGTGGCTTACGCGGGCTGCCGGCGCGGCACGCTCCATTGGAGATGAGGGCGCTTACGCGCGACCTTACGCGGGCAGCTTACGCGAGAATGTCGGCGCAGACGACCCCCGTTTTTTCGCGTCGCTCAATTGGATTCTATACAGATGGTTTCGGATGATCGCACCACGTCGCCGGTGCATCGGCGCCGTCGGAGTGGAGAAAAGCGGGCTCCACATCGAACCGCACCGCCGATGCATCGGCGATGCGGCGCGATCATCCGACTCCGTCTACTTGGACCCCATCCCATACATACGATGTCCTTCTTTTCAATACAAGGGCTCCTAACTTCGCGCTCTCGCGCCGCCCCCCAGATGAAGAGGAGTCGGAGTAGAACCGCGAAGCACGAATACCTTCGGGCCCTCAAAGGCGCCCTTGTCGATAGGGGGTCCCCCGAATTCCCGACCCTTTCCCAAGGGCAAGCTTTTCGTCCTGGGTTGTTGTTAGACGGCCCCTGGGCCTGGCGCGGGCCCCTAAAGGCAGAAAAAACACGAAACATGCCTCCGCCTTTTATCTTTTCCGAGGCGATGGATGCCTGGGCCCTGGAAGGCCTGTGAGACGAAGCCAAGACGAGGACAACATCGGGTGAGGAATCAATCGAGAACCTCTGAGATCTAGCCGCTCTCGAAGATGTCTCGGGCGCCGCGGCCTTCTCACAAAGCGTTCCGGAACGCTCTGAGAGCGATGTGGAACGGATTTGTCCTCGCGTCAGAGCCTGGGCTCGGGGATCTACTGACCCAGGTCAATCCAGAGCCGGGTCGGTCAGGCCTTGCAGAATCCTGCAGGATCCTGCGGGATCCTGCCCCCAAGGCCGGGTCAGTGCACCCCTGGCTCTGCAGTCTCCTGCAAGATCTGGCGCTATGACTGACCCCTGTTTGCACTGGCCCCCGTCTCTCGAGCTCCGACCCGAGCCTGGGCCCTTTCACTGCTGGCCGCCCGGCCTTCTTGCTCTGCTTGGAGGGCCCTTCCGCCTCGCCCTCGACGCCAGCGGGCGCGGCCCTGGGAGGGCTGGGGCTCCTCGGGTCCGAGTGGGGGCTGTTCGCGGTCCAGAACTTTTTTTGGGGAGCCCACAAAGGACGTACGCGCCCAGCTATGTACATGAACACGGCCCCTCGATCCGCGAGACCGGCCGCGTGATACGAACATTTGTGCAATGCGTGCTCTCGAAGCCAGCGTGGATTCATGTACATGTACGTCCTTCTTTCACTCCTGCTTTTTGGCGGTCGTAGCGTGCCGCGGCACCGGCCCTGGCGACACTCCGCGCCCTTTCGAGCGGAGAGTGCGCAGGCTCCGCTCCGCGGGGCGGGAGGCTCGGAGGGGCTCGAGGCGTCGAGGCCTGGGGGGCCTGGGGGGCGGGTGGCGCGTCGCTCTCCAGGACCGAGGGAGCGACACGCTCTCCAAGCATTCCCGACCGTGGCGACTTCTGCCGTCCCCCTCGACCCGCGCTGGTGCTCCCACGATGTCTCCAGGTTTGCCTGGGCATCTCTGGATGACCTTCGATGAGTGTGCCCTCCTCCTCATACCCGACGCCCCCTCCTCATCGCTGGTGTATCCAGGTTTGCCTCGTTTCGTCTGGCTTGATTCCCGCAAGTCGATTGGCTCCTCATGTCCGAAGGGCTCCTTCCGCGGCGCTCGGTCGATGCGCCGCGAGACGTCGCGGAGGCCGCAATCTTCCCCAGGCTCTTGCTTCCAAGCACCTCGTGGGCGGCGAACTGAATTCTGGCAGAGGAGGGAAAGGTGCCGATACCGCTGCTCGTCCTGGAGAGCCCTCGTCGCCACGGCTGAATTCTCCTCGAAATTCCGGTCAGAGTGCACCCCTGGAGAAGTCCAGGGAGTAGCGGTATCGGAACCCTTTCGCCTCCCCACACGGCGCTCGATTCAAGGATGGATGACTGCTTGGACGGCTCTCGATCCTCTCTCTTGGGGTCTCTGGGGAGGTTTCTCGTCGTCATGGCTGGAGTCCCCTCGAAGCTCTGACCGGAACGCGTCTCAGGAGGGGTCGGGTCGGGTGGACCATTGTGGGGTAGTGCGAGTGGGGGCTGCCTGCTGAGAAGGCAAGGGGCCTCTAGCCTAGACCCCCGGCGTCGTGATTTTTTCTCGACGTCGACCCCCAGAGGCCTGGACCCCTTCCCCGGGACCGGTTTTTCACCCTGAGTCGTATGCTGACGGTCCCTGGAGGCCGAGCAAAGCGAAAAACCTCCCGTCGTGATTTCTGTCGCCGCGCGAAGGGCTCTGGAGGCGTTGGCCCTCTCAGCAGCCCCCCCGGCCTCAGCCTCCGGGCCCCGGCCTCCTCAGAAGGCCCCCCCTGGCGTCTTCGAGGGCCGCCCCCGTCGCGCCCCTTCCCCCTCCCCCCCTACACGCGCCCCTCCTGCGCGCGGCCACGCACAGGCACGACGGGTAAGCCTCGAACGGACAACGTCCGCGGCGACACCTGCCACGAGTCCTGCCCAGAGTGGACAGGAACTGCTGCTGGTCTTCCTCCCCACGCTCTCCGTCCTGGCCTCGGCCCTCCCGAAAAAACACCAGGAGCCGCCGGGGGACCAGCTCCTTCGAAAGGCGGGTGGCCTCCCGAGCCGCTGTGCCAGGGCTCGGCCTAAGCAGTGCTCTCCGTTCTCGTCTTGTTTCCGTTTTCCCTGATCCCATCTTCATTCCGCCTCTGCTGCAACACGAGATCAGCAAGAGGACGGTCCACGAAATCGCAGAATCACCATTTGGCTCGAGCCCTGCACTGGTCTCCCCACCCCCTCCAAGCCCCCCGAGCCCTGGGCCGTTCTGCTCGCCGCGAAGCCTTCTTCGTCTGCTTGGAAGACCTCGGGAGACCAAAGCAGGCAGCGCATCCAAACAACATCTTCTGGAAGTCCGCGCGGGCTTGTGTGGCTGATCAAAAAGCAATGGAGGAACGGACACCTGTATGAGAATGAATTCTCGGAGATCCGCGCGGATTGCTTGGATCGGCGATGTGCCCCCCTCCCTGGCGGGCGGAGTGCGCCAGGTGCGGCGCCGGAGGCGCCCCAGGGGGGCCCAGCGCAGATCCAAGAAATCCGCGCGGATGTGCGAGGAGTTGTGTTTAGCCATTGTTTGTCCTTCGGAACATGGCATCAAGGCATCTTCAAAGGCCATCCAGATGGTGGCGCGCTCTCTCCCTCCTTGCCCCCTGCCCGCGGCGGGCGGAGAGAGCCAATGTCGGCGCCATGGGAGGCGGGAAAAATCGGGTCGGATCAAAAGGGAGGGCTAGGAAGGGCGGGGTCTGGCGCCGCGCACAAGAGCGGGCTTCTGAGAATGAGGCTGCGCCTCCTAAGAAGTAGGGGTGCTTCTAAGAAGCTTCCCCCCTCCCCTACCCCCCTCCGGGTAGTCGAGGGGTAGCGTCATCGTCGTCGTCGTCGTCGTCGTCCTCGTCGTCGTCGTCGTGGTCGACGTCGTCATCGTCGTCGTCGTCGTCGTCGTCCTTCTCCCGCGCCTCCCAGCGCCTGAGGCGTCAGCGTATAGAGGAGGGCGCCAGGCGGCGGGGCCAGAACCAACTGCACGCTGCTGATTTCGCACCTCCCCCTTCCCGCCTGACCTTCCCGGAGGGCCAAAGAATAGCACCAGGACCTCGACACCTGAATTTCAGTTGAGGTTCTAGGCAGTCCAGATAGGTCTGTAGGTCTGGAGGGCTATCGTTTAGCTCTGGAAAGGCAGGGCCAATGTCCCCCCCCTTCGTCCGACCCGAGAGGGGGTCTCAGACGTGTGGCGCCGTGACTTTTTCCATGCGCACCCCCGGGAAACCCCAACCTTTTCCCCCGGGCCGGCTTTTCATCCCGAGCCATTGACATTGACGCCCCCGAGGCCCGGCGGAGCCTCCCAAAGGCCGCACACAGCCAAACACTCCTCGTCGTGTCTCTTTTGGTTTTGCGACGCGAGCATGTCGGGGGGGCTTCTGGCGCCGACCCGAGAAGAAGTCCGTCCAGAAAGCTTACGCTGAATCCTGCTTGTCGCCAGGACCTAGAAGAAGGGAGGAGGAGGAGGCGGAGGAGAAGGAGGAGGAGGAACACGCCGGAGGGTGGCAACTGGCGCCGTGGGGTACTGGGATCTGCAATGTGGAGGTACGTTGGCACCCCTTCTTACAGCCGTCTTCGCTGGCCGAGAGGCCGCAGGGAGGGCCAACTCTAGTGCCTATTGACGGGAGGATGGAGGAGGAGGAGCAGGAGGAGGAGGAGAAGGAAGAGGAGGGTGAGGAGGCGAAGGAGGACCAGTGTAAACCCAAGAATCGCCAACGATGTTGGAATTAACCCTCCCTCCAAGCTCCCTCTTCATAGGCCCCATACAAAGGATCATTTCCATTGAGGGAACTGCCTCCTTGGAAGACAACCGTTTGAAGACCCGGAAGCATGCCAAAACATTGTTCTCGGGATGCCAACGCCACGTATCAACCTGACAGCTGCGTCTTGACGATCTGGAATCGTGACAGAACGCAATGTTTGGAATTTTAACACCGCAAATCAACATAAGTGTTGCACCCGCATAATCCTGAATCCTTCTGTTTCTGGTTCGTTGTCCATGGGAGCCTCCGCGAAACTCTTGCAAACTCTGAAAACGAATGTGCGCGGCGCTAAAGCGGAAGTCACATCATGGAAAGGAACCACCCTCAATCCGTGAAACCCTTGCAAATTGTTGTAACGAATGTGCGTGGCCCGACGGCGAGAATCACATTTTGTACAGGACCCGCCCTCAATCCGTGAAACTCTGGCAAATATTGAAAGCGAGTGTGCGCGGCACTAAAAAGAGAGCCACGTTGTGGAAAGGAACCGCCCTCAATCCGTGAAGCTATTGCAATTTTTGAACATGAATGTGCGCGGCGCTAAGCCAACAGCCACAGTTTGCAAACCACCCGCCCTCCATCTGTGATTCAGAATCATACACGGTGAGGAAGTCTCAAGCAAAATCCCGCCTCCCCCAAAAACTGGCCTCGGGGTGAGACAGGAAGAAATTAGTCATGAGGAGAAGGATTGGAGGGGAAGGAGGAGAGGGGGGAGGAGGAGGAGGAGGAGGAGGAGGAGGAGGAGGAGGAGGAGGAGGAGGAGGAGGAGGAGGAGGAGAGGAGGAGGAGGAGGAGGAGGAGGAGGAGGAGGAGGAGGATATAGGAGGAGGAGGAGGAGGGGAGAGAGGAGCAAGAGGAGGGAGGAGAGGAGGAGGAGGAGGAGGAGGAGGAGGAGGGAGAGGAGGGAGGGAGGAGGAGGAGGAGGAGGAGGAGGAGGAGGAGAGGAGGAGGAGGAGGAGGAGGAGGAGGAGGATAGATGGAGGAGGCGAAAATGTCGGAGGAGGAGGAAAAGAGGGAGGAGGAGGAGGACGAGAAGGGAGGAGGAGGAGGAGGGAGGAGGGAGGAGGAGGAGAGATAGAAGAAGGAGGAAAAGGCGGCAGGGAGGAGGAGGAAGGAGGAGGAAGAGAAAGGGCGGAGGAGGAGGACGAAGGAAGAGGAGGAGACAGGGCGGAGGAGGACGCGGAAGAGGAGGAGGAGGAGGAGGAAGAGGAGGACAACGCTGAATGGTGGCATCTGGCGCCGAAGGTATCTGGATCTGTAATGCGGAAGTACGTTGGCACCCCTTTTTCCAGCCGTCTTCGCTGGCCGAGAAGCCGTAGGGAGAGCCATGGCCACCCCTAGTGCCTATTGACGGGAGGATGGAGGAGGAGGAGGACGAGGAGGAGGACGAGGAGGAGGAGAAGGAAGAAGAGGGTGAGGAGAAGAAGGATGATAAGGGGGAGGAGGCGGAGGAGGAGGAGGAGGAGGAGCAAAGATGGAGGAGGAGGAGCAGGAGGAGGAGGAGGAGGAGGAGGAGGATGGGGAGGAGGAGGACGAGGAAGAGGAGGAGGAGTCAGTGGAGGAGGAAGGAGGAGAATGAGATCTGGAGGAGGAGGAGGAGGAGGATGAGGAGGATGAGAAGGAGGAGCATATATGGAGGAGGAGGTGGGGGAAGAGGAGGAGGAGGAGGAGGAGGATAGATGGAGGAGGACGATGTATATATCGGAGGTGAGGGGGTGAGATCGAAGTGGAACGGAGAGCCCACCTACCGGAAAATCGGTTTCGATCTCGTGTTCGTGCGTGCCGCATGTGCGGGCGAGGCGAAGCTGCGTGGGCGGGCGAGAAATGTCCGGCCTCTGGCTGAGCCGCGGCCGGACCAAAAGTCTCCCTTCCGGCAACCGGTGCGGCGCGGTGTCCCGCTGGTGTCCCGCCGGTGTCCCGTCGGTGTCCCGATGATGATGATGACGATCTTGATGATGATGATGATGATGATGATGATGATGATGATGATGATGATGATGGCCATGGTGGTGATGATGATGGTGTTCCGATGATGATGATGCTGATGATGCTGATGTTGCTGATGATGCTGGTGTCCCGATCATGGTGGCGATGATGTTGATAATATTGATGCTGCTGATGGTGATGGGATGATGAGATGATGATGAGGATGATGATGATGGTGTCCCGATGATGATGATGAGGTTGATGATTATGCTGTTGATGATGATGATGATGATGGTGGTACTGATGATGGTGTCCCGATGATGATGATGATGATGATGACGATGATGGTGGCCCGATGATGGTGATGGTGTTGATGATGAGGGTGATGATGAAGTGATAATGACGTGATGGTGATGTTTTTGATGGTGGTGGCCCGAGGATGATGGTGATGTTGATGATGATGACGGTGTCCCGATGATGATGATGGTGATGATGATGATGGTGACGATAATGGTGTCCCAATGATAATGATGATGATGATGTCCCGGTGATGATGATGTTGATGATGTTGTTCATGATGCTGATGATGAGATGATGATGATGGTGGTGATTCGATGATGATGATGATGGTGTCACGATGAGGATGATGTTGATGATGATGGTGACGATGATGGTGTCCCGATGATGGTGTTGATGGTGATGATGATGGTGGCCATGGTGGCGATGATGATGGTGTCCCGATGATGATGATGTTGATGATGCTGATGTTGCTGATGATGACGATGGTGTCCAGATTATGATGATGCTGTTATGGTGATGATGACGATGTTGGTGCTGATGAGATGATGATGAAGATGATGCTGATGGTGTCCCGATGATGCTGATGATGACGTTGATGATGCTGCTGTCGATGATGATGAGGATGATGGTGTCCCGATGATGCTGATGCTGCTGACGCCGATGATGCCGATGATGGTGTTCGATGGTGATGATGCTGATGTTGATGATGAGTATGATGAGCTGATGACGTTGATATTGGTGGCCCGTTGATGATGCTGATGTTGATGATGATGACGGTGTCCCGATGATGATGATGATGATGATGATGATGATGATGATGATGATGATGATGATGATGGTAACGATGATGATGGTGTCCCGATGATGATGATGTTGATGATGCTGTTGTTGATGATGATGGTGTCCCGATGATGATGTTGACGATGTTGTTCATGACGATGCTGATGATGAGATGATGATGGTGATGATAATGTTGGTGTTCCGATGAAGATGACGACGGTGTCCCGATGCTGATGTTGATGATGATGATGATGATGATGGTAACGATGATGGTGTCCCGATGGCGATGATGGTGATGATGATGATGATGCTGATGATGTTGATGCTGATGAGGTCATGATGGTGATGGTGTCCCGGTGATGATGATGATGTTGATGGCGATGTTGCCGATGATAAGGATGATGACGTTGATTGTGAGATCGATTGTGATATCGATAGTGGTATCGATAGTGAGACCACATGCGAGATATATTGTGATATCGATAGTGAGATCGATCGTGAGATCGA